CATCATCATCATCAGCAGCAGCATCATCATCACCACCATCAACATCAGCATCATCATCATAATCATTATAATCAGTATCATCATCATCAGTATCAGCATCAGCATCAGCATCATCATCATCAGCAGCATCATCATCATCATCATCATCATCATCATCATCATCATCATCATCATCATCATCATCCGGAGCGCCCCGGATCGACGGCACTGGTTGGAGGAACAGTGTGCACCACCTCGATCCACTCTATCTCCTGTCACTGTCCTTCCAGAACATGCCCCGCTTGTCCAAATCAACATGTGTCCTCGAGATTAAGCAAACAGTGTCACGAGCTAAATAGACACTTCTGCTTTACGAGTGTGACACTAGTTTCGTACCGTCGGCGTTGTGATAAATCCATGCGTCTTGTCCTTGTCTCTGACATGGAGAGAGCTGTTTGCCGTATCATTGGGCAGTCAGATCGGTTAGGCTATTGCTATGATCGCTCAGGTGTGCGCCGACGTGCTTTCAGTTTAGCCTCCTCGAATATAAACGAATCGCGTTGCTGTGTTTGCATATGCACAATACGTGGGGGTCTCTGAACCGTTTTCAGCAAGAACTGATGTAGTTGGAACGATGTATGTGCGCAGTTGCACTGCCGCTGAAAGCCACGTATCCAGGACTCCAGGAAAGTTGGGTATCTTGAAGTCAGTACCAAGAACGAACACACAGATCAGCACAGTAGAGGCCTCCTAGATGGGGTCCGAGCAGATGGGGTCAGATGACCGGGCCGCACCGACAGTGCGTTGCCACTGTATCGGCGATGCACCGGCGATGCTTTGGCGACGTCGGCGATGCATCGGCGACGTCGGCGTCGGGAAACACGGGCTCCACATCGAGCCGCATCGTCGATGCGCCGGCGATGCGGGGCGATCCTCCGACCCCACCTACTCCGACTCCCTCTAAAAGGCCTAAACACATGTAGATGTAATTGGCTTTCAAACGCGAGCCCGGTTTGAATCCACTTCCAGAGGCGGCCAGTCCCCCTCAGACAGACCACGCTCGCCTATTGTATTCATCTTGCGCCCGCCTGCTTCTAGACTCCTGTTGCCATGGCTTCAGAGTTGGCTTGGGACCGATTTGTCGAGCTTCCAAAGAGGTCCTCATCCCCTTCTCAAAAAAAACCACACTGTCCAAACCAGATTGGCCTGACGAAGGACTTAACCAAATGCAATTGTGAGTGCCGCAGCCGCGAGTAGTTATCGTCTTCGATGGAGCTCCACACGAGGGCGCGAAACGCGTGAGGGGTGCGCCAACATGAAAGTGGAACTTTATGCGGACCATGCCACTGGGGCCTTCCGTGGAGCACCCTGTGGGACCACGAAACGTGTGAGGGGTGCGCCGACATGGAAGTGGAACTTTATGCGGACTATGTCACTGGGGCCTCTGGTGGAGCACCCGTTGGGGCCCAAGACACGTGTGAGGGGTGCGCCGACATGGAGGTGGAACAGCATGCGGACCCTGCCACTGGGGCCTCCAGTGGAGCACCGGAGCACCCGATGGGGCCACGAAACATGTGAGGGGTGCGCCGACATGGAGGTGGAACTGCATGCGGACCATGCCACTAGGGCCTTCGGTGGAGCACCCTGTGGGGCCACGAAACGTGAGTGGTGCGCCGGAATAGAGGTGGAACTGCATGCGGACCCTGCCACTGGGGCCTCTGGTGGAGCACCTGATGGGGCCACGAAACGTGTGACGGGTGCGCCGGAATGGAGGTGCTACTGCATGCGAACCCTGCCACTGGGGTCTCTGGTGGAGCACCTGATGGGACCATGGAACGTGCGCGGTGTGCGCCGAAATGGAGGTGGAACTGCATGCACCCATTTGACGATGATTGCAGAGGCAAGGGATGGGAGGAGGGAAGATGGGGAGGAGGTGGGAAGGACGCGGGGCGCTGTCTCTTCAAAACGAGGACCCAACACCACAGGATGGTTAGGAAAAACAGCGACTCCGTCCAGGTTCCCGAATGCAACAGCAGAAGCATCGATATACAATCCGATCGGGAAAACATGTTATGATGCATGTATGCAAGTTCTCGTTTACAACTACTCCTCTTGTTGCTGATTGTCTCACGGTGCACTGCGCACAGCCTTCAAATAGATCTAAACATGACGTCGTAGACGTTCCAAAACCTCCGCAAAAAAACCTTGTCATTCAGATGCGTCTCAAGAACCCTTTCGAGAGTCGTTTCAGCTCCGTGTCGCTTCCCACCTGGCCTCCCTGGGAACGGCCTTGAACCTGTCTGGAAGCCTCCCGACAGGTGTTAGACCACTTTATATTTTCTTTCCGTCTGCCGTTGCGTGCCGAGTCGTCCATGATGCGCGTCCACAGAATCGGGTTTGCTTGGGAATGCAGCTCCAATGTGGTGGGCAATTCCACGTGAGGTAAACAGTGTCGAACGAGTATCGCCTCCCAGGGCCGACACGCGAAAATCCGCCAGTTTGGGTACGTTTCATGGTGCTCGAATTTTTTCTGGTGGTGAAGGCTAAGGTACGTTGGTACACCTAGAGGCCTCCTAGGTAGGGGTCGGGGTAGATGGGGTCGGAGGATCGCGCCGCATGCCCGATACATCGGCAATGAATCGGTGACGCATCGGCAATGCGTCGGCGATGCACCAGCGATGCATCGTCGACGTCGGCGGTGCATCGGCGACGTCGGCGTGAAGCAACTCGGGCTCCGCATCGGGCCGCATCGGCGATGCATCGGCGACGCGGCGCGGCCCTCCGACCCCATCTGCTGCGACCCCATCTGGGAGGCCTAGGACTAGGTCGGGCATGCCCCCTGCAGGCGGATTGGTTGGACCCTTTTTGAATGCTCCTCCTGTGGAGGGGCAGGCCCGACTCGAGCCTAGAACATCACAAGCCTAAGGCTCGATCCTGGTGCGAGACCGATCGCGAACACCGGGCGGCGCCAGCTGGCGTGCCTCTGCGGGCCGTGGGGGGGGGGCGGGGCGAGCCCGCGCTCCTGCGAGGGCGCGGCGGGCAGCCGACGAGCGCCGCGAAGAGCGAGCATGCGAGGGGGCTTCGACGAGACGCGGCGGCCGGCCAGTGGGCGTGCGACGTCCACAGTGGGGGCCCGACCACAAGACCCCCGGGACCCCTGTGGGAACGTCCCGCTCTCCCACGGCAAAGCAATCGAGACCCAAGAAGCCCAGGGCACCCTGGAGGCGGGCAGGCAGGCGGCGGCCGCGCAGGCTGGAGGGGCGCAGGAGCAGGAGGCCAAGGGTACGCGTCGTTCATTTCTGATCGTGCTCATTTCTATTTGTTCTCGTTTCCAACTGTTCCTGGCCCCCGAGTGGCCAGGAAGAGGCCCAGGATAGAACAATTAGAAATGACAGGATCTTGGCCCCCCAAAAAATCAAGAAACTTCCGAATAGTTGGACATGAACAACGTGTACAGGCGAGAGCCGCCATGCGTGCCGAAGGCACAGGTCAGCCCGCTCTCCTTGAACTTAACGAGTTTCTCGGCCTGGCCACAACAGCCGTCCGAGTGAGGTCTACCTGTGATCGCAGGTACGCCACTTCGGCGGCAGCCATATGATGTCTATTATAGGTTTGCGCGTCACCTGCACGGGGGGCATACTATTTTTCACCATATCTAAACAATGCATGCGGTGGATGATGCGGTGGTTGGAACAGCCAGCCTCGCATGTGCAGGGGAGGCGAAGACCGCCAAGGTAGATTGACATGCCCGCAGTGCAGCCAAAGTGTGCCATCGACGGCCCCACGTGTTGTGAGAAGGCCAGGGGGGGAGGCTTTCCGAGGTGGAGCCACGGTCAACCCCGCGTCCTTCCGGCAACGACCTGCCACGCAGCCTCGCACCTGTTAGGGGAGTAGGATGGCCTAAGCGGTGCCCAAAACCAACCCGCCCCTGCCCGAAACCATGCACCAGCGGGTGTACTGGCGGGCTGCTGTGCTTGCGCGGGCTGGAATGGCCCATTGGCGAGAAGAGACGGAAGCGAGTGGACCGAGAATTACCGCTGTGAATAAAGGACGCCCGCAACGCACGGCTGCTCCAAGAGATCGTCAATCCGAGTGGGCACCTCTTGGAAGGCCGACGCGTACTTTCCCCGGCTCCCGCCGACCTTCCGCCAGCCTCCGCCGACATTCCGCGGGCTTCTGCCTGCGGAGCCGCTCCCGTTCTGCTCCCGCCGGCTTCCGGCGGTATTCGGCCAAGGCCTGGATTTGAGCAGGGACCGACCGTCCCGGCATTCTTATAGGCTTACCACGAAGTGTTCTTAGAACCCAGAAATGCACGAATAGCAAAACAATGTTCTCAGAACAGAAGGCCGGTATGTTAGAACAAGAAAATATCGTCGGCCAGAAATGTGCTAAGAACATTTCGTGCAAAACACAACATGTGATTACAATATTCTCTGGTGTGCCAATAGGCAAGCTAGGACGCTTGGCCTCTGCTCAATGGATGCACCGAAAGCAGGCTACCGCGGACCGCACACTCCCAGCCGGGTGACCATGCGGGGAGCCTGTCGCAAGCTCATGGCGCGAGGAGGCGGAGGAGGAGAAGAGCGGAGGAAGTAGGAGAAGAGGAGGAGAATAAGGAGCATAAGGTGAGCGTTTTTGTTGTATTCGGCGTTTCGACATTGGGCGGAAAGGGGGAAGGGGGGTCTGGCTCCAGACCTCTGCTTAGTGCGACTGTTTGCAAGAGTGCGGCCGATGAGGGAGGGCCCCCGCCTGCCTGAAACAGGCGACAAAAAACAGCCAAGATCTACTCCAGGGGGGAGGGGGGGGGAGAGGGGGGGGGGGTCGAGGGCCCGCGCCGATCGGCAAAACAATAAATACAAAACGATCACAAAGGGGAGCAGGAGGAGGAGGAGGAGGACGAGGAGGAGGAGGAAGAGGCGAAGGAGGAGGAGGAAGAGGCGAAGGAGGAGGAGGAGGAGGCGAAGGAGGCGAAGGAGGCGAAGAGCGGAAGGAGGAAGAAGGACTGCCGACGGGCGCCGCGC